ATCGGCTGCGACGCGGCGGGAAGGCCTGGGGTGTGGGAGGACGCAGTTCCGCACGAGAGCCTGCTACCTTCTCCTGCGGATGGTGACGGCAGTGCTCGTGAAGGGTCACCTTCGCATGAACGTGGACATGCATAACTTGGTACCGTCGTGCCATCGATGCTATTCTTCGGTGCACACCCTCAAAGAGAAGTGGAACGGCGCGGGGGCTTATCCAGAGAGGGGCGGAGGAGAGAATTCCTCGGACAACTGGGGCAGGCAGGACGAGTACGAGGTCGGACGTCGTACTCGGTGAGAGCCTCAGACTATCAATCATCAGTTGTACAGTTGTACAGCTGTACAAGTGTACAACAACAATGCAGATCATGAAGTTTGATCTCCTGTTCATAACTGTACAAGTATAAGAGAGAACAATATAGTGGCGGGGGTGAGGGGTTAGCAATGGATTGTTAAGCGGTTTGAATGGGGAAACGGGAGGGTGACGGCAGCTACCCTTCAAGGGTAGTAGTGTCGGCAGTCGGGGGGGAAGAAGGAGGGGGAAGACGGATTTGGAGCGACTGTAAGCGAAGGGGGAGTGTAAGTAGATGTTAGAAAGTACAGCGGTAGTGTGGAAGGGTCAATTGCGGGGGCGGGAAAGTAGTTGCGGCGGTTGGTTTACAGTTGTGTTTACATTTTTGCGCGGGGCGGGAGACTTGGCGGACACGGCGGAAAAGAAAGCGCATTTCTAGCGCAGCGGGCGGGACAGGAGCTCTCCGCACAGGTGGCACGGGGCCACAGTTTACGTGGCGCTTTACACCACGTATACAGTAGTGTGGCCAGTGGCATACTTTTTATTACTTTATGGGAATTAGTGTATGCCCATCCCCTATCATGTGAAAAAGAGAAAGAAAAAAAAATACTGTACGCAAAAGACTGTACGCAGAAGACTGGACCGCCGCGCGAGTGTACGTGGCGCTTTAAAGTGAACCACGTATAGTGTGGCCAGTAGCATACTGAAGGCAGAAGACTTGATAGCCGCTCGAGTATACGTGGCGATGTACACTATTTATAGTGTGGCCAATAGCATACTGTGCGCAGAAGACTTAACCGCCGCGCGACACGTCGAGGGGCGGTCAGGTCTTCTGGGCAAGCCAAGCGGCGCCGCACTGATTGGCCGCCCACGTCTTTCACCAGCAAGGCGCGCGCCATCTGTCCCTTGTTGCCATCCCCCATGCCCGCCAAGCCGCACCCGCCTCCCCGCCCACTTAACAAAGCCCCCCTTCCCCATCACAAACCCAACCGCAATTCCCCCTCGCAGCAACCCCCCCCCTTTCCCCAACCCTCTTCCCCGCAATGCGTCTCCGCTTCCCGCTTCTGGCAGCGCTGGCGGCCGCGCTGTGCGCGCCGGCGCGTGCGAACAGCTTCTTCCCGTGCCACCCGAGCAAGGCGGAGACGAACAACAACGTGGGGTGCGGCCGCGTCGTGATGCCGTCGGGCATCTGCCGCCGGTGCCCGCTGCGCCCGACGAACCGCGACGGCAGCTTCGCCGACTGCATGCGCATCTACGACACGGACGGCCCGGACTGCCGCGACGCCCTGTCCGAGTACGTCGCCGAGAACAAGTGCGACGTCGAGCGCTCGCGCGCCCTCAAGAGCCTCGTCGAGAAGGACGACCCCGACGCCCGCATGGTCCTCGACTACTTCCTCTACTCCGTGTGCGAGCAGTGCTGCGACTGCATCCCCATGGGCACGCGCCGGAGGGACTACGACGCCCTGGCGAGCGCACACTCGCCCGCCGACCCGACTCTGTGGAAGGAGGACCGCGGCAATTGCCCGGCACACGCACAGTTTGATGTGTGCAAGGTCCTGCCGAATGTCAGGTACTTTGCAAAGCCCGGCGACCCGGAGCTCGTCGCCCCGAAGATTTGCCCCAAGCTCAGGGAGTGGCAGAAAAGCCCCGAAGCTGCCGACTGGCCCGTCAATCCGGAAACCAATATCGAATCGGATGTGAGGCGCTTTCTTAATGGTATACTGGTCGCCACTGACTGTGACAATAAGCTCATCTGGGGGAGGTGCTACGAAATGGAGGATAAGCAGAGCAACCTCGACTTGCCAGAGGGCGCTGATCCGCCGGAAGTCCCAGTTATCACACGCCCTCCGACCACAACAGAGGCTACTACTACTACTACCACTACCACTACATCCACCACCACTACGGAACCCGAAGAAACGGGTAAGTCATTCGCATCCATTTTTACTCCACCCAATTCACACCCTCACGTCACCGTCACTGAGCCGTCCCTCCCTGCCATCGTCTCTGCCGTGGGGTCCACCATATCCCCCCACGCACCCCAATTCCACCCTACCTGCCTCGAATGCCGCTACTGACACCATTCCACTCGCGCACTCTAAATCTGCACTTCCATCTCCCGCCGAACTGCCCAACACAGGAACAACCCCAGCTTCTACGGATAGTGAAAGTACTGCTGAAGACGCCGAAGAGCCTATCGAGCCGGGGTCTGACCCAGGTACCGAATCGGACACCGACTCGGACTCTGCCACCGATCCGGACCCTGACCCGGACTCACCAGGCGAAGATGACCTTTCTGAGGAGTCCGGCTCTGACAACGACACGTCGGAAGACCCAGCCTCCGACGACTCGGGCGATGACACGTCCTCGACGAACTCTGGGACTTCGCCCGACTCCGAGCAAGGCACATCTTCGATCATCGAAGGCACCGCCTCTTGCTTCCCGGCCACATCTACGGTGGAGCTCGCGTCCGGCGCCCGCATCCCCATGTCCGACCTGCGCATCGGCCACTCGGTGCGCGTCTCTACGCACGCCTTCTCCCCGGTCTTCCTCTTCTCCCATCGCACATCCTCGTCCGCGCCGTCCTACATTCAAATCACACCAACCACTGGCAATCACACGCTCACTGTCACTTCAGGTCACTACCTGCACATTAACCGCCAACTCCTCCCCGCTGCTGCCGCCAAGGTCGGCGATCACATCCTGACCGCCGACCACGGATGGGCACCCGTCGCGGCCGTCCGAATAGTTCAAGCGAACGGGTTGTACAACCCGCATACCCTACAGGGAGACCTTGTCGTCGATGGTTTCGTCACCTCGACGTACACAACGGCCGTGCCAAGACGCATCGCTACCGGTCTGCTCGCGCCGCTGCGCGCCTTTTACCGGCACGGGCTCGTGTCGGAACGCCTGTTTGGCTCGTTCCTTGCAGACGGCTTCCGAAGCGGAATCCCTGCTAGTATCGAGTTGTAACGTTGAGACTGCTTAACCACACAAGTGCAACTTCGTATTTGTATACCACCAATTTTGACAGTAAACCCGTTTTCGAGTGGTTCCCCTTTAGTGTGTCTTAACAATCTTTTGTTTAAGAGCTAATAGCCGATGTGCGTATCACGAATTGCTCCCCTGATGAATTCTTGTGGACACCGTGAAATACCGTTCACGGGTCGTATGGAACTGTATCCGTCAATCGAGAAGACGGTAAGGGATGAGTGTGTAATCCAATGAAAACGAAAGGCCGTAAGTGCACCAGGGAGTACGTGTGGGTTGTCCACCGGCCTTGAGTGCGGATATTCCGCCGAGTGCTGATATGATGCCCGAGGCTTGCCGAGGACATCTTATTATTCGCACGAGGGCGTGGTGGGCAACGTGCTTGTCAACAGGGAGTGCGACAGCAATAAAGCATCAAAAAACTGCCTGGCACGGAATGCACTACATTCCATGCGAAGCAGTGCATTCAGTGCAGTGCAATATCACCATATTGCACCCAACCCAGTGCAATACCGCGATATTGCACCGGGCGGAGTGCATATCAGTCATATTACGGCGCATCCATATCGCACTCCCGGTTGACAAAGCATAAAGTCGTAAACTCTATCTTTGTCTCGCTGCCCCGCACAAGTTGACTGTCTTTCGGGAGATAAAACTGCTAGAAATGGTGAGCAGTGAGTCAACTCGGGAGCGACATACAACCGGGTCCACAACTTTCGGCGCTCCCCTCCGCTTTTCATAGATTGAGAATCAAGCTAAATATCACCTTCAGAAACACATGACCGTCGGCAGTCGGGCACACCCCTCCCTGATAAGACTTCTCAACGGAGCGCAGGATACCGCCCGAGTAGGTGAGACGGTGCTGTTCCCTTCAGCACAAGTCACAATAAGGTACACGTGTCTTTTGTACGCAACAAGGCACCAAAATTTGACAGGTACAGTAGCAGCGTGGCGTTGGGAACACCAAGACGTAGGTAATACAGCACTGCTTCATTCAGCACTTGAGAGAGCCCGACAGTTTATATCTATGAAGTAAACAAGAGCGAACCGGTGAGATTCCATCTCGAGATACCGTTGCCACTCCTTCTTGCGGGCGTACCCCCTGACTCCAATCGTCATCGTGGTGCAACTATGCTCAAAGCTCCCACCAGACAAGTCTACTTCATCGCGTGCACATTGTATAGTACTTAGGCCCTTGAACTTCCTAGCTTACCACTCCCCTTCCGCGGCAACCCAAGCATCATGCTCGAGAACAAGCCGCTCGCGGTGGTAACCGCCTCGACGGCCGGCATCGGCTTGTCAGCTGCGATGGCTCTCGCGAAGAGCGGCATGCACGTCGTCGTGAGCTCGCGAAAGGCAGAAAACGTTTCGCAAGCTGTCGCACTCATCAACGACGCTTACGGCCCCGACGCCGCCTCCGGTATTCCCTGTCATGTCGGAAATAAGGCAAACCGGGAAGCCTTGGTCGCCTTCGCCGCATCTCGATCCGCCCACATCCGAGCCCTCGTTCTCAATGCGGCGGTGTCCACCGCATACGGGCCCATATTTAACATTTCCGAGGACCAATGGGACAAAATGTTCGACATCAACTTGAAAGCAGCATTCTTTCTCGTCAAAGACTTTAACGACATGCTCACGGCGGGGTCGTCTGTCACGTTTATCACCTCTATAGCTGCGTATAACCCTATTCCTGGTCTGGGGGCCTACTCAATTACAAAGACAGCGTTGTTAGGAATGTGCAAAACACTCAGCGTCGAGCTCGCAAGGGATGGGATACGAGTCAATGCTATTGCTCCGGGACTCATTCAGACCAAGTTTTCAGAAAAGTTGTGGAAGCACAAAGACCAAGGGAAGGGCGAAGCTATGGAGTCAAACAAGATCTCAAAGTTTTTGCATATACCCATGAGGCGCATCGGTATGCCAAACGATATCGGGGGGGTTGTCGCTTTCCTAGTCTCAGAAGATGCCGCGTATATTACTGGTGAAACGATTGTTGTCGCGGGAGGAATAACGAGCAAGTTGTAGTCGCAGTCTCATGAACGTTATCGATGTAGCTGCTGAAGATTTCGTTGGCATCCGCTCGAGCTGCGCTGTCATCATCATGAAGGACAGCCTCATTGTTCCAAAGGGAGCTGAGTTAGGCCGACGGACCTCATCTTCGAGAACTCCTTGTCCATGTCAACACCCTTTGCGCAAGCAGTGTCATCTAAAACAACGCTTCACTTCTCGTCACAGGTGCTCAACACATTTCTCCTATCCATTTGTCCGCTTGCTTTCGCCATGCCTTGTAATAACGCCTTTTTTAGATTTCCTCGTCGTCCCATGCTGTTTGCAAGCGACACATGAAGAAATATTTTCCCACCAAGAAACATCTTGTTTTCCCGTCATACAATGAAAGACGACTTTTGCGGCACTTCAGGCGCTCGAGCCTGCCCGGCCTAGTCCGAGTAAAGAGGGCTACTTTTGCATCTGAAGATGATGGGGAACATTAACTTTTAGTTGCTCGGGTAGGTGTTCTTATATGATTCATACGAGATCAGAATCGAAACTCCTAATGTGTTGCCTGTGCGTCCCATGATGCAGCGGCTCGTGACAGTGCAGATTGAATTCCCGAAGACCTTCGTTTTCACCTGCTTCTTCGGCAGGTGCCTTCTGCTTTGCCCACCGTCTAATCCTTCAGGATTTCGTATTGGGTTATTCTCGATACATTGGTTCTTTGCAAGGATGCTTAGCTTGACGTGGTATCACTGCGCGTTCGTTCACAGCCTACATTTGGGAGGAGCTTATCTAATCCTCGCGACAACTTTCCCGGAGGCATCTGATTACAGACTCCTACAACCTCTCCAATTGCCATCACACGAATAACTTCAAATCAAGGCGCATGGGAATCATCCCTCGGACGTGCATTGCTCTTCGATGCGCAGACGATTCAGATTCATACCGTAGCAGATTAGACTCTTTCGCCGGCACCCTTGCATCAGGAGCTGTCACGAGTCTTTTCCATCTATTGTGAAAACATGGCTCAGGATTTTCTTTGCTTTCGTGCCACTAAGTCTGCGTTTCGGCTGACATCAATAAACTCCTCAAGGCATGATTTTACGTGTTGCGCTTAACAAGGACAAAGTCTTGTTTATGATATTTGTAAGTGGACCCTGTGGTGCGACTTGAAATTATTCGGAATTGGGAGATGGGCGGTGATGTTTCCATACTGCCTACGAAAAATTGTGATGTTATGAAATGTGTGCAACATGATGTTTCTGTCGAGAGGTCCACGGTGCTGTCGACAAAAACCACGGTGCTTTTAAAAACTGGCAGCAGGCCGTTGTCGGTTACAACTGTGTCTCACTGAAAATTTACGAAAGGCCAACGTATTGCAATATGGATCAAGAAGATGCACAAAAATCAGAAGATGTTCTCGACCTTTCGCAGCGACTGGTTGCTAAATTCACATTTCTTGCTAGCTATCTCTACGCTTCGAGAGTTACCATGGCTGCAGGTGGGCCAATTGGCGAAAGAATAAGGATAAGTAGTGGTCGACCAGACTGCTACATCATCGAGACGTGTGATGAAGCATCAGCAACAGACACCAGCGACAGGGAAGGTCGAATGTTCAGCACCACCAATATTCGGTCCTCACGTATGCGAAATCAACGTAGGCCTTCCCGCATTAGAAATCAAGCTTTGGCTACAGCCAAAAGGAAGTCCTCGGTGTCTTTGGCGCATGCTATTCAAGGTCTGTCTATATTTGGGCTATCTTTGCTGTTCATTTCTACCATATTCTTTCCCCTTCCTGGCGGGACTGAGCACGAACCTTACGGTGTTCTGCACAAATCGATTGTGCGAAAAAGGATTGAGGCGTTACGAGGCGAGCAATCTAGAAGCGCGGCTAGCATCAATGGAACCCGAGAACGAACACGAAGGAAATTGCAAAGTCCTCATCGGCGCAATAGAGTGAGAGGTACGAGTCGAACTCGAGACACAGCCCATCTTGACCACGCTGGGGTGAAAGCACCATTTGAAAAAGTGCAGCTTGATGGATTCAAAGATGCCTGGCGAGTTGGTTTGAGCGTGATTGCTATTCATTCAGAATGGACAAACCGTTTCGATATCCCGTGGCTGTTGTTACCGCGGATTACAACCCGCTCATTTGCCGAAAGCGGCTATAGAGTTCTTTACTCTCCCATGAAGGAGAAGGCAAGCGGAGGTATTGGACATGGTCTAACGGTCCTGAACGCGGAATTGTCAACCGCGATAACCCTCGGATTATCATACACACACAGGGTTGGGATATATGGTTCAATGAGTAGAGCACAGCCACTGGCAGTGGAGGATCTTTTCGGATGGGGAGCGAGGGAAGTGCCCAGGAAATTCATTCAAGACAAAGTGTGTGAAGTCACGCCATTATCCCATAAAACACCACCCGAACACGGGTCGGAAAGCTGTCCTGTATGTAGGACGATTCGAAAGGATTCACCGGTTCCAATAAGAAATATTGTAGAGGTACCGTCAATGATTTCCTATGGATGCACTTCTTGTCACAGGACACGCATTGCAGTCGGAAACTTTTTGGCTGAGCATGGAAAGAATCATACATTGTTCCAGATGTCACCGTCGAGATGCGACCGATCGCCAAAGTCGCCTGACTTTTCGCTCTCATACCGTTTCTTTTATTGGAAGTATTGGGATCTCCACGGAAACAGGACAATAGGTGGGCTACCAGTATCTGCTGTGAGAGAAGAGGGCAGAAAATGGACAGTTCCAGTGACGAAGCGAGGCCCTGTTAACTTGATCGAGGACGAGCTGAATATCGTTATCCATGCAAGACGGGGGGATTTCTTCACTCACACGAACAGAAAGATGGTTTCCGCGAAAGTGTTCGCAGCAGTTGCAAATAGGTCTATGGAGATTGTTCAAAAAGTTGGGGGTATCTTTTCCGAAATGCCGGTGGCAATCATCTTGTACTCTGAGGGAAGAGAGCGAAATGGAACAGTTGGTGAGTTGCACGAGCAAAGCGCCCTGAGCAAGGAGTTCGTGGACACTGATGGGACGATTCGCGACGCAATATGGTTACACAGCTTGTTCATGCCCTGTGAAGCCAGCCTTACAGGGAACAGCTCGCATACGGATCGTGCAGTGGGAAGCAGCTATCCGAACGGGTTGCGGGTGGAGACGCGAATCTCGAGTGACGTCGTGCACGCAATTCATGAAATGGCTGCCGCGGACATTTTCATCGGCAGCGCATCTGATCTGTCGCAGTACGCCGTTCGTGTCATCTCGAGAGCAGGAATGCAAATACTGCCGGAATATCAGGGGGCAATGGGGCAATGCTGCGCTACTAGATTCGATGTCGAGTCTGGAAGGGTCCTGAAGAGTAGTCTGGAAGAGTACTGGAGACTTTACTCGATTGCAAATGAGGAAAGCGCAATTAGGTCTATGAAAGAGGCGTCATCTGTACTAGACTAACTGACAGGCATGAACGGCGATCTTGAGCTTGCTTGTAGCCGGAACATAACGATACAATCCATCTCCCATATGCAATGTACTCCAATCCGCCCAACGTAGCCATCTGCATGCTCTGCGTTTCCCACTCAGTTTATCATATATCCTTCGGTGGTACCCAAGGGTACTCCATTCGTTGAGAAGGACAAGGATCTCGTTCATGCGAACAAAGGGCAATTGAATGCCGGTTGATGGGCACCTGCTTTGGTACTGTTGCAGATTTTGGGTTCCCCCGTTTCTGAGGATTTCAAAATTGATGACCTGACGAGCTGATTTTGCGTTGCTGTACGAAGCAATTAATGGGCTCCGATTCGTCGATCTTTCAGATGTGCTTCCCAGTCCTTATAGAGCAGCCCGCCCGTCCTGGCTGGCCCAAAGCCCAAGCCTCGGCCGGTCGAACAAGGACAAGTTTCCACTGACATCCTCCATTCGAGCTTGGGCCACCCACGAAGCCACCTGGTAGCTCTCACAGACTCGTTCGGCAAAACCTATCGACGAAATCATTCGCCCATGATACCGAGAAAATCATCTTTTCGACCTTCCCGCCGACAAAGAGCCCGGCGGAAGGAACACTCACGTCAAACGAAAACACCACATGTCAGTTCTCCTCACCAGCTTCTTGAAAGGCCACTTGTGAAATCCATGGTCCACGCGGCCTCCCCATCATATCGAGAATGTTCTCCTGCCAGACCGGCAACACCACTCGTTTTAACAGTCACACTGCTCTTGCTTGTCCTTCTGGCGTCTAAGGACCAAGACCATCGACGACGCTTGCATACCAGACATCTACATACTCTTGGAGATGCCACTGCTGCCGTCGAGGCAGTTCAGCAGAGGGTTAGATGGAATAGTGACTACAGAAGTCGTCTGCTCGCAGCCCATTCCGCGGGTCGAAGTCAGTCAACAGAAGTCTTCCTAAGATGGCTTCATATTCCGAAGACGGGAACGTCCTTTGTAAACACGCTTGTTCGATGGGGATGCACAAACGTGGCAGCTGAGACATTTGTTGTGCCGAGGAAAGAGCGCCCGCAAGAAATGCATCTGGCGCTTCCAGAGACCCTCTCGTGGGACTGGCTCTTTAAGAATCAATCGGGGAGGGGGTGGTTGAGAACTCATTGTCGGGAAAGACTTGTCACTCACCATCCAATTACGGGTTCGCTTCATTACTCACTGTATATGCATCGCGCGTTGAAAAACTGGGAGACTGTGAATGCCGTCGCTTTCTTCAGATTACCGTTACAACGCATGTATTCCAATTACATGCACCTTAGCCTGCACTATAATGAAAGTCGAGAGCCACGGGAAAGTCTGCAAAGCTTCTTGACAAAGAAGCAATTTTGGTCGCAGCAAACCAAGATGTTGCTCGGCAGACATTACCGAGATCCGCGTCCCGTGTCGATGGTGGATGCGCAGAAGGCAGTTTTGATTGTTAAGGAGAGCCTGATGTTCGTCGGATTAACAGAGGAGTTCGTGCTTTCTTGTCGATTGTTTCACGCCACGTTCGGCGGCGTTCCACATCGTGCCCAGTTCGAGAACATTCGTCCTGGAATCTCCAGGTACAACTCTTCAGTGACTACGTCAAGTTCTTTCCGGTACAGTGAGAGCCAGTTTGAAGGCTGGTCAGATGCGGCGGATGAGCTTGTGTATCAGGCAGCGAAAGTGCGATTTTGGAGCGATGTGAAGCAGTTAAAGGCGAAGATCGAGGTAGATGGACTTGGTGAGGTTGTTGTACAGACTAACCATCTAACTAATAAATAAATTCTTGTCGGTCGGTCCAAGCCCACTCATCTGACTTGTGCAAGTCACAATTATTGTCTGCAAGCAGACAATAATCCAGGTCAGACGAGTCGTGACGCCAGCACCCCAAAACATATAAGAATCACGTAGTTTTCCCACCAACGCCTTGGTGGAATGGGTGCAAGGGGCGGTGTCTCAGCGTTTTTGTGGACTAGCTGCCGAAATTCTGACAGAAACCGTTCGAGGAAGTCGGTGTTGTCCGCTAACACCGGCCTGCCAGAGGTTTCGTCAATTCTGCAATGATGGCTGTTCTCAAACACAACGATGGGAATGTGTAATGGTCTCCTCTTCCCATGCGCCTTCTGCAACAGTTCCCTCACGACTCTGATGCGGTCATACATCCACACGTCGAACGAAAGATCTCCAGGAGGAAGTTCTTGACCATGTGTAAGCACAACGATCGTCTTCTCTAGAACATGTCTCCCATAGATTCTTCTCAATCTCCGAGCTATCCTTTTCATCTTCTCCTCCTCCAAGTCATCCATGCGATCAACCAAGAGGACGTAATCTACAAACTCCCCCTGAACACTCTCCACAACCTCATCAAAATTGCCGTACTGCACGGAATACTTGATCGCCGACTCATCCGTATAATCCAAAATCTCCTCCATACTAGGCAATTCCAGGAACGTCACAGTCTTCCCGTCGACCTTGACATGACTTCGATCTACATTCGACTCGCCAGTCGGCGTGTCAACCTCAATGGGAACATCCGGAAACGTCAGGGCGCGCAAGTGCCTCAGTTTCCTAGCCGTTTCCTTTTCCCCAGGATCCATCTCCTCTTCCGCCGGAGCACACGAAAAGGCATGGCTCTCAACGCGTCCCACGCGACCGAGCAAGCGTGACACCGTCGCGGACTTTCCGCCGCCTTGAGTGCCCGCAACAGCGATGGTACACGTTTCCTCTCCATGGGCCTCTGCCATTCTGCGCAGAAGCCAGTCGCCAGCCCAGCTCTCGTTGAGCACACATTCGCGCCAGCCGACCTTCTCGGGCATTTGCAGAGGCGGCTGCGACGTGGCGACGGCAGCTTGCCACCCCTCCGGGTCGAGGGCGGCTGCGACTCGTGCCAACACATGCAACACGCGGGGCCATGAGCGTCGTAGGCGGAGGTCGTTCTCGGCCGGAATATCGTCGGAGTCAATGTGCAGGCCTTGGGCCGCCTGCCGGAAGACGGCGAGTTTGCGGCGAAAGTAGCGGCGGCACGGCTTGCCGACCGCGGCGCATAGGGCGGCACCGGTGGGAATCTCGTCGGGCGGGATGTCGTGAGATGTTAGCCATAAGTTGACAGCAGACTCTAGGCCGGGCAAGGGCACCGGCCCCAGCGGAGCGGAATGGGGGTGGACGGAATGACGGACAGCCGTAGGGGAGGGGTTGACGGGAAGGATCTGGTCTTCTCCGTCGAGGATGGGATGCACGGAGAGATGGAAGGTGGAGTCGGAGCAGTCAGACTGGGGTGGACGGCCAAGCAGAGAGAGCAAGCGGGCATTTTCGCGACGGAAGGAGTTTGTGGGAGACTGTTCGGGTGGCTCGGGAGGTTTGGCCGAGGCCATCGTTCGAAGCCAGCAGACGATGCGGTTGGACTTGCCTACTTCAATATATTGTGCATTTCTCCGGAACCTCTTTTCAGCTCTAATGCTAGTCGTGAACACACAAGTCAACTGGCGTTAACAAAGCCCTTGTAGATGCAACGCCGCATCCCATCTAACGGGTAACCGAGAGCTTTGCAACGACCCTGGTGGTGGATCAATCGAAGTTGATATCGACCTCCTGCTGATCCGAAAAATGTGAACGGGAAGTGTAGATCAAATTTACGATGTTTTCTAACAGGACTGCGACGTATGTATATTTTCGCATGTATTTTCCAATGTTTTCCACAATTGCAGCCGAAACTTTTCGGCTCCGGCAGTATAAATACCCATCGTCGACGGCGTCCTCCTTGGAAAAAGAAGGCAGATCAAAAAGCACGGCTGCCATATTCGTCACGGCGATAGCCCAGCTTCGGCATTATGGGCTATCGCTGCAAATGGAGAGCCAAGAGCGACGACTGATACACCAACCCTCAGGAAGCCCGACATCGATCTCCCATCCGAGTTCGGGCGTCGAATTGGGTCGGACAAACCAGAAACATACCAAAACGCAAACCATCATCTTTAACACAAAACTTTTTACTCCTGTTCGCCGTCGAACAACCTCCTCAACTTCTGCCCCTCTTTTGCAGTTGCCGACGGCCTTAGGCCGCTTCCCCTTCTTCCTCGCTCTCCTCCTCTGCCGTCTCCAACCATTTGACGAATGGGATCATCTGTTCGCGTATAATGTTGCTACTTGCGGCCGATCCCTTCTCCAATCTCATTCCCCGACGGAACCATCTCAGGATGGCCTCCTCAACAAGCACGTCCTTCCGATACAGTAGATTAATAACGTCGCAAAAGACGGCAATCTTGAGCAGTTCCATGTCTGCCGACACGTAGGCCTGTACTTGTTGAATAAGTACTATTTGCATAGCCCCACTTGCGCATACCTGTTCCAACAACGGCGCACCCTTCTGCGTGGCCATGAGCAGTGCCGTACGGTTCTGCTGCGTCTTACGCGACATGTTGACAGACATGACGACGCCCGCCCAGGCGGCGTGCACGCTCTCTGTCTCTGTCAGGCCGGTCTCCTCGCGTGTAGTCTTGACAAACTGAACCACCTCCTCTATGGGGACAGCGCCCAGGCGCTCCAGGCGCTCGGAGATGCCGTCGCGAAGCGTGCGGATTTTGTCAGCCTTGACTCGTCGCTCATTCTGCTCCACCAGCTTGTCCAAGCCTAGAGCGGCGAAATGTTCCGACAAGGCGTCTGCGGAGCGCGATCCGGATGGCATCATGTTTACCATAGTGCCGGTATCAATACCGGCAGATTTGAGTAGGGCCATGAGCTTGTCGATGGACTGGTTGTTCTGCTCGAGGAAAGAAGTGATGATGGCGGTCATGAAGTCAAGGGCGATTCCGGAAGCGATTGCACTCTGAGATGACAGGGATTTGAGGACGACCGGAGAAAGCATCTGGCGTTCCAGCATGGACGCGATAGCGACAGCGAGATTCGCGCGCGGGACTTCCTCGAAAACAGCCAGACACGAAAGCAGTTTTGTAAAGACAAGATCATATCTCGCACGCAAAAAGGGCTTGCGACGCATGAGCTGATGCATGATGTCGACGACGGCCAGGACGGCGTCTGAGTTCTTCGCGGCGAAGACGCAGTGCTCTGTCGGGGGTGGATTGGTTCGGACTGCCCCGCCGGGCTCGACGATGTTTCCCGCAAGCATGACTTCGCAAAAGACCTCCCCGTAACGGTGGTAGTCAAACTCATCGCTGGAAAGTGGCGATATGATGGTCGCCGAGATGCCGTGCTTTTCTAGCTCCTCGAAGAGACGTGTGCGGAATGTGTCGGGATCAAGCTTGGTTTGGATGTTGCGCTTGCGCGTCTTAGGCACACCCGTGCCAAGGGTGGGGCGGAGTTCCTTGGATGCCATGGTAGAGAGTGATTAGGTCTTGATGAACGGGCTGTTGCAGATATTTTGATGCGAGTGGGAGAGGGTGGGCGCGGAGGGGATTTGAGTTTGGGTGAGTATCAAGGACGGAAGACGAAAAGAAGCGTTTTTCGCCGTGTCTAACGGCGGCAGCAGCGAAGTTAATTTTAACTTCTCGGGGCGTTGGGCACCGACCGGCTCCGCGACAGCGGTGCGCCACGTGTGACACGCGTGATACTGCAAGCCGTGGAAATATTGTAATTACATAATTTGATATTCGAGTTTACAATTGATTCGTTTTATCACACGTGTACAGCTATACAAATTTGTTTTTCTAAAATGAAAGAGGTATGCGGAACAGCCAATGAAAATGCATATATGAATTCGCAGAAACGTAACGGGTGGCGCATCGCGAGGCGACACACACATGCACCCAAGTCTCGAAACGGTCACACTTCCCGCCAGTGAGTTGACTTCCTAACTTCCATCTGCAATTTATCCATCTACCCTTTAACTTCTTCCTCCCACCCTGCTCCCCAACACCATCCGCACACAACCGACAATAAACATTTCACTTCTCCGGTTTCGCTCTCCACCTCCGTCCTCCTCTCCATTTCTATCTTCCTCTCCTTCACCCTTCCCCAGCGATGTCCGACCATAGTCCCCGCGGCGCGGGCGGTGCCCTCAACCTACGCCACTCCATCGCCCCGCGTGTCCTGGACAACTCGCTTCCCATGGCCACCCTCGTCTCTACCTCCCGCTTCTCCGTTCGTGTCGCCCCTCCGCGCCCTACATCTAACCGCACCCCCGACTCATCCATCCTCACCACCTTTGTCTGGCGTGACAAAGGAGTTCGCGTTTCTCTGGCCGGAAGCTTTGACGACTGGCGCAAACACGAGATGACGTTTGTCCCGGACGTCGGTTATCACATCCTCGTCACAGAGCTCCCGCCAGGCGAATATGTCTACAGGTTCGTCGTAGATGGACGCTGGAAAGTCGCAGAGGGCGACCCCAATCTCCAGGAGGATGAGTTTGGAGAGATGTCCCATTTTATCCACATCACCCATGAAAACGTCGCCACTGCTACGCCCAAGAGGTTTTCCACTGCCGTCGTCGCCCATGCAGACCCTTCTCTCCAAGCTCGTTCAGATGCTGTTATGACCCAGGGCGACAGTGATACTGAGTCTGAAGGGGAGGGCGATATCGAAGATGAAGTCGAGAATCGCCCGGATACCCCACCACTCCCACGGAAAAGAGGCGACGCAGCCTATATTGAGGATTACGACGATGACCCGTGCGGAGAACTGGACCTCCAGGCAGATGTCTTCGAGGCCATGAAGGACGTCGCAGAGACAACTACCGTCAAGGATGCGCCGCGCTCTCATACCAATGCCTCGAACAGCCAGACCAGCTGGACGGAGAGGAAGAACAAGGGGCTCTTTAAAAGAGGGCCTGGAGGAAGAATGCTTCGAAAGGTTTGGGGCATGCTCTTTGGAGATGCTAAAGAAACTAACAAGGACGAGCACCCCGAAGAAGAAAATTCTCGCCCCGCCCCGCCCACCAAGAATCAGAAGGCCCATGGAATGGCAAATAATGAGAATGCCCTAAGAAAGGGAATCAAGGTTTGGTTTCCGAGTGAGAAGAATTTTATCAAGGGCGTCAAGGGTCGCAAGGTGGAGCCTTCAGAAACCAACGAGGTTATCGATGTCGGGCAAAAAGCCCTCAAGTTACATCAGGTTGAAGACAATGCGAATACGAGACAAATGCTAGGTAAGACCCTTTTCGCCCAAGGCAAATACGATGCTGCCTTGGCCCTTTTCTCTCTTTCTGTCAAACTTCGAGAGGACAATGGGCTCAAGTATGCAAAAACAACAGCCATTGCACATACGGATGTCGCGAGCGCTTTCATTCACCTTGAAGATCTCAAGAATGCCGAGAAGCATCTTCGCATGGCATTAACCATTTACGCTAAGAAAACCTTCTCTGGGGGTCGATCACAGCTCGGTGACGTGCATTGCTTCCTGGGAGTGATCGGCGACATGAAGTCCGACCTCAGAATTGCAGAGCTGGCCTATAGGAAGGCTATTGGATTGTATGAGCAAAGCAAGAGCACAGGCGATAATCCCAACTACGCCACTGCTATTGACAACCTGAATGCAAACCTCCGTCGCCAAAAGGTAATGAAGAGACAGCCCCAGCCACCGAAATCCTCCGAAAACAAGCCCGGCGCCAAAACTAGCGCCACGCCTGGTTCGAATGGCTCTGCAGCAGTCCAACAGCGCCAAAACGGTGTTGCCCCTATCAAAACTTCTAATAGTCGTCCTGTACAACGAGCGCAGCCGCAGAAGCCGCCTCCTTCTAAGCGCACTCCTCCCCGCAGACCTTTGGATCCATCGAGACCAGCGCCGCGAACTGGCGAAAGCACACGAGGAATTCTAAAGCCCATTCAACGAGTCGACAACGAAACAGCCCCTGTGGCTGTAAACCCCACGGCCCCGACTCCGACGCAAGCTACTGCACAGAAGACTGCTTTGAATAAGAGGCAGAGTAGGCACCCGACGAGTTGGAAGGATCTCGCCAACACCGCTAGAGCATCCATGCCCCAGCATCCACCACAGGAGAACCTTTCAGACTCAGAGGACGACGAAGAACCGGCTGCAGGATCGTATGAGGAAATGAGCCGGTCCTGGCACAAGGACGCTCGAAAGTTGCTCTACAAGGGACAATTTAAAGAAGCCATCGACCTTTACACTCTGGCAATATACACCAGAAAGCGTCATGGGCCGTGGGGTACAAGGGAGAACGCAGAAACGCTCGTTGAGTATGCAAGGGCGTTGTTCGCTACGAAAGAATTGGCAGAGTCAGTCACAATCCTAAGAGATGCAGTGTCCATTCTTGAAGCCATGGATGTGCAAAAACATGGCATGCTTCTCGGCGAGGTTTGGGGTAATCTAGGAAGCGTCCTAGATCGCGTAAATGGACACCACAGTGAGGCCCTTACGGCTCATTGCGCAGGGATGGTCGCCTATGGAAAGAGTGGTATGTCTACCGACGACGGAAAGTGGATGAAGGCATGGAAGGGCCTTTGTGTGAGCTTGAAAATGAATGAAGGTTCGACAAGCAAAACTACTGATGAGCTATGGCAGTCCATTGATCTTCAAATCAGAGGAGTGACTCCTATGACAAAGGTCGCTGCCGTGGTTCTCAGAAAGTAGAGGATCTCGGAAGATTCGAATGTTAGATTTTGTATGAGGGTTTCTGTTTCTCCGCTATGATCGTGCTGGTTGGCTAAGGCTAATACATGCCGAGGACGGGAGACGACGAAATTCAAGCAATGCCTTTCTATTGAAAACTACAACTATGACCTTTGAAGACAGCTTGCCTGAGACTCGTTTTCAGTTTTCAGATATCAGAAAAGACTGCTGAATGGGCTTCCCAATTCTGTCTCTTGAGAAAAGATAAATAAAATAAAAGCTCCCACTGGTCGGGATTGATAACTGTACTTTCCTCTATTGCAGAGACAGATGAGTGAACCGCAAACATGGCTGTTCAAATAGAGAAAGAGAACTGCATCCTAGAAATGGTGTAACGGGCAAAAGGTAAAGTTTAAGGATGTTGAGGGAGATTCCTCGTTCGCTTCCACTTGTTTTAAACAAGTTACGCTTAAGGATATGACCTAGTTTCAATGGCAGGCTGTTTGTGGTCTCTCTATGCTACAAAATCCCGGCATGCCTTCAACAGCATGAGAGATGAGCGTGAAGTAACCCAACTCGCCTAACCTAGAAAGCTTCTTGTTGCTCTTGTAGTTTCACAAGACGTATTGTGAATGTTCTAGTGTCCCCTGACCCATTCTTTCCGCGAGCCTCCACGCGGACCTCGACCGTTCCAAAAACCGGGATCGGCCACGGTTTGAACTTTCCACGTGTGTCCCCCCAACAGGCGTAGGGTTCCATCCCCTCTCTCCTCACAAACGACTTATTGACGTAGAAGGTCACGAAACGGATTTTTCCAGATGTTAGGGCTACAAATGTAAAGTTCGAAATGTCCGGGTTTACGAATATCGGCATCATAAACTCCTCAGCCATTACTTCACTGTTATCTGTGTTGACCATTCTCAGTCCAAGGATCTTGACCGGCACGTCTTCTAGGCGTTTGATAGGTGTGGGAGAAGGGGCGATGCGGTGAGATGGCAAAGGTGAGGGAGAAGGAATGAGAGTAACATTCCTTGACATGGAGCCTTTGTGCGGACCAGACTTTTCAGATAATGCAGCCACTCCCTTCGACTCCCCGCGTTCTTGGTCTTTAAGCGAGTTTGCATAATCAATCCATTTCTGTATCGGTAAGGACGTCTGAGGTTTCAGAAATGCAGATGGCTTGATCGCCTTTCCCTTACGCCCCAAGCATGGCTCTTTCTCACATATGCCAACTGCGCCCACCGATGAATAGCAACTGTCGGGTTTACGAGTGTTCTCTCCAGGCTGAAACCGTGGCTCGCACTTGTCTTTCTTCTCGCCACCTTGAATTTGAACAAAGGAACAACTATAGTAGTCGCCAAAGAGAGAGCTGCCCATACTCAGGCCACCAAACCAAGCCCACGAAAGAACGTAATCGCCATCCGGATAGCACTTGGGGATTTCCACTTTCGCCTGATATAGCAAGGTATCCGTTCCACAACCCTGCTTCTCCTCGATATCGCACGTATGGCTGCCAGATTCGAAGCATGAATATCTGAAAGCCAATTCGCTGTGTGCTTGCCTGTTCATTCTCATTCCGTTGGGAACTAGACTA